ATAAAGAGTACGTCACTTGTTTTTATTTCTCAAAGAAATCTGACCTTTAATGGGTTAAGATTTAAATTTATTTCAAAACTTTTTACATAGGAACTACGTGTATTCGAAAGCTTTATGTGATCCAATGTTATCTTGACAGTATTTTAAAAAAAGGGAATAATACTGATTTATTATTATCCAATATTAATTCAATGTACAAAAATTTTTAATGTCTTATTCAATTCATTCACAAAAATAGTGATAAAGAATCTTTTTCAAGTCACAGAAGTGGGACATGGAAGTTTGACAAATATGTAAAAGCCATGTATTTATATGATAAACATCTAAATGATATGTTATCCCACAATGTTCAAACATATAATTGAGAACCAGATTCTGTAAATATATAATGAAATATGGCTTTGGAATTCGATTCTCATGGCTTTTTTTAATTTTATCTGTTCGAAAAAATTAATTAAGGGGATATTTGATGTGCGTAGAGAAAAAGGGTTCTTTTATTATTAGGTTATATAATATTTATTATTTATTTTATTATTTAATAATAGGTGACTCTTTATATTTATATATAATATTATAAGATATTTTTATTTTATTTTTTCAGATCAGAGTATGTATAACCCTTGGATTTTATTTATTTCAAAATAATTTTTATAACCTTTAAGACTCAGAGTACCTCTAAAATTTTAAATTCACCCATATAACTTTATTGTCCTTAATTTGCCCTTTTCACCCCATCAATATAATAGGGAAACTTTTTATTTGCTTATGATTTGGGATTATTTGTCCCTAATTATAAGTTTAATAGAGTATATATTGATAATGACATATTGGTCTTCATTAATAAACTTTTTATACATTTTACATTTGTTTGATATTAAATCATACTCGAGTATTTACAGATCTAATTAATGGTAATTCAACTAGCATCATTTTTTTTTCATACAAACTTCAAGCAAATGATAAACTTGATTTTACAAATACAACAATAATATTTGTAGCAATGAACGTGAGGTGTGTATAAAAGGGTTAAAATTCATCCTACATCTTGAAATATTTTTCTAGATATGTATAATATCATAAAATATTTTGCGATGCATTTAGATTAATTCTCAAATATTTCTAGCATGCATCTTAAAATATTTTATATTACATCTAGCATTTTGAAGTAGTTTTTCATATACGTGCAGCATCTTAATATTTTAAGGACAAAATTATACTACAAAATATTTTAGGTTGTTAAACATAATTGAAAAAAATACTTCAAGATATTAAATAAAGTGTGAACCATAAAATACTTTAGGTTGCTAAATACTTCTAAAAAAAGATGTTGGATTAAACTTAACCTTATTTAAAAATATAATTACTAGAAAAACCAAATGAAAGTTTAAAAAAAAAAAAAAGAAGGTAGATTCGACCACTTGCTTGAGATATTAATAAAGGTGCCTAAGTTTTAAAATACTGATGACTAGAAACCACGGCATGAATATGATAGCTAGTGAATAAAACTAGGGTAAAATCTAAAAAGTATCTCTAAAATTTTAAAATTTTAAATTAGAAATAACTACAAAATTATGTTGTCATTTACTTTTCAAATGTTATTAGTTGTTATCAAAGTGTAATGAACAAAACTGATTTAAAATTTAAAAATTTAAAAGTATTTTTTTGGGAATTTTTTTTAAAACTAATGTCATCGTAATACTTGAATTTAATAATCAGTGACTAAATTAGGCATAAAAAAGAATCAGAGACCGAAAAGATGAATCAAGCTGAATGGATTCTCGTATAAGTTTTCTGAAGCATTTTGTACCATAACATATTTTGTCCAAAATATCAATTTCTTTTTACGTATAAAAATAATTATATTAAAAAATTTAGAATTTAAACATGCTTTGGCAGTATTTAATTATAGAATCCCCGTTTAAATTTGTCTAGTCAACATTTTCCCTTAATTAAAACTAACTACGTTAAAATTAAGAGCCTAAAAATATATTTTATAAATTTAAAAAACTAAAACTAAAAATTAATATAAATTTAAAGGATTAAACATATACTTTCACCTTTTAATAATTATTTTTTCGTAAAACCACATAGTGACTTTTCTTTTTATCATTCCAATAAAAAACGATTTTCAATATTCCTGTCCAAATTTAATAGAATGTTAATGTTTATAATGAGATGATTTTAGAATTTGCATTCTTACCTTTTTCGTGTTTGACACTACCATTCCATTCTTTTTATAGCCAACAAGTATTTATTTTCTATTATCAAGAAAAACATAATTATTTCATTATATCAAAACTTATTATTTATTCTTAATTAATTTAACTTTCAATTTGGTATAAAATATAAATTTTCAATCCATTTTGTCTCTTATATTTATTTTTTTAAAAATAGTTCTTATAGTAATTACACGTGTTAAAATTTTTATCAAATGTTAAAGCTAATACACCTGAGTAACAATGGTACTTTAAGAAAAATATCACTTATTTATTACAGATAATTAGCTTAACAAATTTTTTTAATATACTCAAATTAGTCAACTAACTCTTATATTAAGTAGAGGAGGTAGTATCATTTTCAGTTGCATTCATGTTCTTATAAACTCTGTTCCATTAACCAGCAAATATTTCTTTATCCAATCATGTAATAAATTTTTCTTTCCATTCTTAAATTATTTTATAGTTAGATACATTTTCAGAGCATATCAAACATAATGTATTTTACTCGATTAAAACTCATTTCCCTTCTTTTTCACATTCTCATAAAAATCATTCTAACAACTAAACATTCTTTATTTTTATTCTCATTCTCAGTTGAAAAAAAAATATTCCGACTAGCTATAATTAATCCCAAGAGAATATAGAATAAGATGATTGAACCATGGTTCAGATTCAAATTCTGTGGAAAAACATAAAGGCTATCCGAATCATATTATATAAATGGAATCTTCTGAAAAATTAAAGTTGTCTCTATATCCATTATTCCTTCACACTTCCTTTAATTTATATGCACATTTGAAAAAGAGAGTTTCATTATTGTGAAGTGAACATTCTAGGCTACTCTACATAGGTATTAACAATCATATCAATTACTTTGACATTAAACTTATCGTGGTTTTATGCCAGTTTCAAAAACATTGATTGTTGTATAAAAATAAAATCAAAATCTAATGTTATATACTCTTCCAGTTCTTAATATAGTATCTAATTATTGAATTGATTTTATCCTAAATATAAGACTTATTTTTCATATTTATCAATTTTTTTCTAAATTACCCTTATGGATACTCTTTCAACCATAATCAAATAGAAGAGGGAGTAAGGATATTAAGAAAGATAATTATGGTATCTTAGAAAAAACATGTCATATTTTTTATAATTATCTAATTTATCTAATTTTCTTAATCTAATCAAATTAGTTAAATAATTCTTATATTGAGGACCGGAGGAGTACAAATTAACTTATTCATTTATAAATAAAAAAGACACATTTCGTAAATATATTCAAATTTGAAGAAAGCAGATGCTATTTTTGAAACCAAAAAGAAAAACAGGTTTAATTCAGTCAAATCCTATATTTTGTCAAGAATAAATTTATTTAGTGAAAGATGATAAAGGGTAAGAAGTTTGTTTAAATTAATAAGTTATTTTTAACTTCTTACCGCAATCCAGGAGGATAATTAAATTATTGATATTGTCTAAAAATAAAACAAAACTGATTTATTCTTATTAAATACATCATTTTTAAAGACATATTATCCCTCATAAGCAGTCTCTTTAGAGAATTGTGAAAGGGTACAATTAGAACAATGTAATTAATAGTCCCTTTTTTCATGACCAAGACGAATATACATCAGACATAGGTCAAGCGATATTTTTAAAACAAGAATGATTTCAAGTGTAATTTAGACAAACATAAATTTTTTGAATGTAAGAGAAATCAATGTCATTTTTTTTGTGCAGTAACAACTTTTTTTTTTCATTTCAATTACTATTGATAAAAAAAATGAATGACTTGATCATTATGTTGAGTTAAAAATCAGTTAAATTACATTCTATTTTTCAACAAAAAAACTCAGTAATATAAATAAACACTTAAGAAATTGTGCAAACATTTTATCCTAGTGAAAATTAAACTGTGTTGTCAACTTTTGCCCCTTCTTATGGACTGGTTAGGAATTAATCATTAAAAAAATAAATAAAAGTAAAAATGATGAGAAAAAGCACAATGCAATTTGGTTCCGGAGTCAACTGAAGTAGAACAAAGTTTATACATTTGATTGTAAGAAGAGAAAGAAAACTATTTTAAAACTATTATTTACTTTATATTATAATTATTATTTTCAACTTGTATATCTTTTTTTTTTCATAAACTTAAATTTTAAAATTTCTAAAATTGAGGAATAAATATGAAAAAAAAATTAAATGAAAATGATTCTAGCTGAATTCCAAAATTTTCAACATATGTGCGTTGTATATATGCGCGCATGCTTATATTCTATTGTTCTGTCAATTTTAAGTTCTAGAATTTTCAAATGAATTACCGAATATAAAAGTTAGAAATTCTACAAGTATTTTTTTTGTGAAGTGGAATATTTTGATTAATTGATATTTTTTGAATGTCAATAAAGAACTAGGATTTTTATGTTTCCTTATCCCTCTAATTAATATAATTTTCAAAGTGTCATTTTAACCATTCATTTCCTTGCTTAGAAACATATTGCTTTTGTCATGCTTTCAAGTTTCATGTCCTTATCTTTTCTGAGAATTATGGCAATTATCACCTTATTGTGGCCTTGCTTTTCAGCTTCAAGCAAACTTGTAACAAGATGCTATTCAAAGGCAAGAAAATTTCACAGCTTGCTTCCAAAGGTTAAAAACATAGATAACCGTAGACAATAAGTACACATCCAAATCACAAAGCCACAGAGCAAAAATTTTGTTCCAAAGCTAATTTACATCTCCAAGAAAAAATTTTAAAAAAAAAAGGTCAAAGGAAGATGTAAAGAAGAGGGCCACTAGACTGACACTGATAATACATCATTATCACATTATAAATAAAACCCAATTCTTCCTAATACCAGAGCTTGTTCATCAGACTTTATAGCTCAGTGAACAAGCCAGGCAAATGGGCTAAAGAATGAAACTGTGAAGCTAACTGTACAAGTTAATTCTAACAGGAAGGGGAGGTAAACTAATCTAGAAGAAGCAAACCCTAGATAAGAATTAGAATAGGCCAGTGAATGATGAGGTCAACTTGTAAGGGAAATTCGCCAGAGGTCCTCTTTGCTGAGCAAGCTCATGGATGTCCTTCACTATGTCAAAAACTGCCTCTGGCTGTGCTAACTTGAGAGCATTCTCAGACATCCTTTTGAGCTCTTCTGAATTTGTACTGAACCATTCTGTTACAATTCTGGCTGTTTCCTTGGGACTTCTGGTAAAAACACCAGCCCCATTGTCTACCACATAAGGTACATTACCTTTCTCCTGAAGTCACCATCACAGCTATATATGAGTTAATGCCAAGGCAATAGAAGAACCATATATTGGTAAAGCATATGACAGTTTGATGGGGGAAAAAAAAAAAGAAAATTTTTATCTTGAATTAGTAAATTATTTATTTATAAATAAATAATGTTTATTCATAATTCATTATTTCTGATTTACCTGTCCAGGAATATAGTCATTCAGTATTATGGGAAGCCCTCTGATCAATGCTTCTGCTATTGTACCGGGTCCAGCCTGCAAACCCCATAGAAACGATCAGTTTTTTTATTCATCACACTCAAGATATTAGCAAAACGCCAATTACCAAAATAGATGCATTAGGTGGTGGGACCAACCGGTATAACATCTATTTTGGCAAGTTTCTATCAGCTGATTGAAAGTCCTTTTGTGTGCAGGGAGCTTATTCAAGACTTTCTCAAGTGGTTTGACTTACTTTTGTTATTATGCAGTCACAGGCTCCCATCCATTTCTCCATCTGAGTCTCAAATCCTCGAACCTGCTCAAAAGGTTACAGAAACAGAAATTTTAATGACTGCCATCCTTTTGTGCTCTGCTTTTGAGATGCAAGTGGTTTGAGTGAATCCAATTAATTACCTTCACTGGAATCTTCCATTCTAGAGATTGAAGTGAAGATGCTAAGGTCTTATTACGACCACAAATGATTATTAACTGCCCAATCGATTTATCGGCTTCTCTATCATAGAGTGACTCGCCCAGAGCCATTGCAGTTTCCTTGACAGGACCCATTCCTTCACCACCTCCCATCAGTAGAACTGCTGGCAAGCTAAGATCCATACCAAATTCTTCTCGTACTTGATCCTAAAGCCAAGATTTGGGAGAAAAACAAACTTAGTTTCATAATTCCAACACAGCAATTAGGACAAATTCTCTGTAAAAATATGCTAAAATTAATTAATTAATATTATGTTTTATTAGTCAGTGTATCTCCACAATCACAGTTCTGGCATCCGTAGATACCTTTGAGAGGACTGCACGGGCAAAAGAAGGCCTAATGGGTAAGCCATAAACTCGGATTTGAGACTCCTCAAGGCCATCTTGTAAAGCTCTCTTGGCAACCTCCTGAGATGGGCAGTAACATCGATTGACCCCAGGGTGAAACCTGTGAATAGCTTCAAGGTCAGATTTAACATTACGAGAATACAAATAAGTTTCAGAATCGAAATGTTTTGGAGAAGTTACCAAGTCCGATGGCAGCTATTAAGATCAGTGATCACAGTGACAAATATCACTTTCTTTTGCAAACCTTGCCACTTCAGAACCAATAATGGAATATGCTGCATCAAGGGATGGACACTGATTATAATATCTGGTTTGTACTCCATCAGTCCCGCCTCTACTTCCCTGACAAGGATACAGGGCAATACAGCTTAGAAAACATCTTTCGATGCCTACCCATGTTCCGTTATCAATTCCTATTCTCAAAACATTACAAAATTCTGAGCCTACTTTGTGAAAATTAATAAATAAATAAAAAAGAAACTACTTTTTGAAAATATCATTAGTGCGTCGCCCCCAACTTGTTAATAAGGTTTTCAGTTAAGAGAAATTATTGGCTTGTAGCGAGAAAGGTAAAAGACCATAATTGCAATTCCCAACAAATAATTGATATTGAGTAATAAGCGGTCCATAAAGTCGTCATAACAAAGAATGAATAGAAGTAATGAGGTTAAAAGTATATGAAATTATTTAAAGAAAAAGTTGCTTTAGGTTACGATGAAACTACTTTTTACAGTTTCTCATAATAAAAAACTCGTTTGAAATGCTTTATAAGCAACTTTTTATAGTAATTTATAAAATATAATTATGTCAAAAAATTTTGTCTTGATTTACATATTTATAAGTAATTATGAATGTGATTCCAAACTAGGCTAAAGTAGGTTAGGTAATTCAACAAGTAGTTCATAATTGTCCTTTAGCAAATTGTCTAGATTTGTAACAGAGAAGGAATATACTTGGCATAATAGGCAGCCATGGCAGCTAGATACATGGAGTGAATCCATCTAGGAGAAGTGCTGTGAAATGCAACTTTCCATAGCTGGACATGCTTAACCATAAACTTATATGATCTCTCCAAGTCGTTCAATGGCCACCCCGCGTACTCTTTACACACATCTTTCACAAATATCTGAACATGGAAAGAGATGATCTGATGAGCAAGATAGTCAAGTTGCTAATTGAAGGAGCAAAACCAGATTCGATATTAATAAAGAACAAACCAAAAAATGGAAACCAAAGAGTCCCCAAAAGAAAATAAAGACATAACGACAAAGTGATGACATCAAATAGAGCACAGAAATTCGGATCCACATTCCGTGCTCATCATCTTGATGAGCACGGAGTGCTCAGCACTCAAAACGTGGACGTTTTGAGTGCTGAGCATGAGGGACCTTTTTTTTTAATTAAAAAAATTTATGTATTAGAATTATTTTTAGTTAAAGTTTATCTAATATTCTTAAATGTTTTTTTATACATATTCAATATTTTAAAATATTTTATCATATCCTGAAATATTTTCTCATATGTATTTAGTGTTCTAAAATATTTTCTGACAATGCATTTGAAAAAATATTTAAAAATCTAGTATTTTAAAGTATTTTGTGATCTATTTGGTACCTAAAATATTTTTTCATATATGTTCATTATTTTAAAATACTTTGTGACTGGGCTTACCTAAAAACATATTTCAGGATCTAGTATTCTAAAGTCTTTTATGATTTATCTAGTATCCTAAATTTTAGTATTCTAAGATATTTTATGATAGAATATTAGGAAATAGAAAATTTTTTAAAACATTAAATGCACATGAAAAAATATTTTAAGGTACTAAATAAATCATAAAATACTTTAAGATATTGAAAACATCTAAAAAAATATTTTTAAGTACTAGATAAATGTTAACCGAAAATAATTTTAATACATACTTCCTCTGATTCTTAATATAAGAGTTAATTTAACTAATTCAAGTATATTATAAAAATTAGTTAAATTAGTCATTTGTAATAAATAAGTGTTGTTTTCTCTAAAATGCCTCTCACTAATTATGTGTATTAACTAAAATCACCAATTGATTAAATTTTTAACACGTACAATTATTATAAGGACTATATTGAAAAAAATAAATACATATATAAGAGATAAAGCAGATTAGAATATTATATTTAAGATTAAATTAAATATCAATATAATTTTTATATTAATAATTTGAGATGGTATAAATTTTTTTGTAACAAAAAAGTAAAATAAAAATGCTCAGCACCCAAAACGCTATGCGTTTTGGGTGCTGAGCACTCCGTGCTCATCAGGCTGATGAGCACGGAATGCGAACGCCAGAAATTCCTGGAAGAAAACAAAAGCAAGAGCCAGAAAATCAAAACTCCAAATAGGTTCAAGAAAATTACAGAGCTATGCTTTTACAATAATTTGAATGGACCTTCACTGGAGAATAAAACAAAGCAACCATGGCAGATCAAGAGAAGATGGAAGCAGAAAGGACCAAAACGACAGTGGTGAAATGAGATTTGAAGTATTTGATAGGTGCATGGAACACGAAACGACTTCATTGACTCCTAAAATCTGCTAATCCAAGAACAAGAAGAAATTACCCTATAACCATCGCCAAATTCTATTTGAAAAGCGTCACGAATGGCCTCGGCGGAAGCTCGGTGGCCACCGCCGGTGTCGCTCATGAGAATCAAGACGTTCTTGGTGGTTTCAGCTCCAATCTGAACGAGCTCCATCCCGGTGTCACCATCCTCGTTGCTACTACTGCTGGGAGCCTTGGAATTAACGCACCTCCTCTGGCTGTTACTTCCATGGTAGTATGCTCCAACCCTCTGAAACACCTTCTCCGCGATGGAGTTCGGCGGAGAGGCCACAGAAATCACCATTTCGCAGAAACTGGAGGCTCACCGAACAGTCAAATGTGAATTTTCAGGCAAAATGAAAAGGAAAATGAAGCGGAAAAATGTGGTGATGATGAATCAGTGTGTGCCAAGAGAGCAGAGGTTGTTATATTCGCTTGGAGACAGAATTATGCTGGGAATTTTATTGCAGGTTGGTGTGGTCTTGGTGCCTCATAGCCGTCAGATCCGCTTTGGTTTTGGAATGTTCGGACTATAAGATTCGAATCTTCTCTGCTTCGTAACTTTGTGTTTTTTCCGAGATGCCCTTGTGCTTTTGCTTATTTGCATCTACTGCCGCATGGTGAAATGACTCATTTGCGCCTTTACGTTGCAGGATATTGTTGTTGTCGGACAAATTACACGCAAGGGCTCGTATTTTGATTTTTTTTTTTTGGGTATATGAAAGTTGATTTGAGTTAAGTTTTGAGAACTCATTAATATGCCTCCAAACTCAAAAATTCTTACAGAATCTTAGACATTATTATAATTATTTTAATGGGTTTTATAATAAAATAACCAAAATTACTATCAATTTTGTTCTACATAGTTTGCATGTCTCGGTTTTCCGAGATGCCCTTGTGCTTTTGCTTCTTTGCATCTTCGGCCGCATAATGAAATAACTCAATTTTGGTCAATTGAGTTTTAAGGACTTATTAAGGTTGGGATATGCTTACAAACTCAAAAAATACTTGCAAATCTTAAGCATTATCATAATTATTTTAATGGGATTCATAATAAAATAACCAAAATTACTATCAATTTTGTTCTATATACTTTGCATGTCTCGATTTTCATTCATTCTTTTTTGAAAAAAATTGATAATTCCATGCGTAAGATAAGAAGGGGTATATTAACTCTTGAGGAAAATGCAATTTTAAATGTTTTAACAAAAATAAATTTAAAGTTAATGTTTATAAATTTAATTGAAAATTCATAATACTTTTAATCTTTGAAAATAGTTATTATGTTTAAGAGGTTTTAAGTAAAAATTTTAAAAGATCGATTTAAGGAATAATTTTTCATTTCACTGTTTTGGATCATTATGCTCAACATCATCACTTAGAAGCAAAATGATGTAATGCTTCAAGAAATTGCAATTTGCACGTCACTACGAGACAAGAGTATTTCGAAGTAGTCATATGGTTACGGTAAGTGATCCTAAAATAAAATTTCAAAAAAAAAATCTCTCCGTAATCCGGAAATAAAATTTTTGCAAAATTCTTTATGTAATCCAAAAAAAAGTTAGAAAAGTCTTTCAAAATATTAATATTATTCTCTTACTTTTTCCACAAATGACATATCCGATGAATACACCATATATCAATTAATACAATATCTATTGTTTTTACCAAAAATAATTTAATATTTAGTATTCTTTTGATTCTATTTATAAGGTTAAGAAATTTTTTTTATTTTTTAATGATATCATTAAATTTTTTACACTAATATGTAATTATACCCTTCATTTATTATTTATGAGGAACAAGCCATTAAAATATAGTGTATATATTAAATAAAGATGAAATTAAAAATTGATTGGTAGATAATGAGATTTAATTTTTTTATTTTAATAAAATATGTTAGAATTACCTTATAAATAGAACTAAAATAATATAAAGTTTATAACAATTTTCACTGTAATACTAATTTCCATTAAAAAAAAAGAAGAACCACACTAAGTATATCATGATAATAAAAGTTTTCTATTTACACTTCTGTTTTTAAAAGAATTACTACATATGGTCCTTAATATAATATCTTATTTGATTTTTATTTGAATCCTAAATATAAAATTCTAATCTATTTTGTCTCTTATATTTATCTATTTTTTAAAGATAATCCTTGTAATAAGCTAATACATTTGATTAGCAAAGATATTTTAAGAAATATAACACCTATTTATTATAAATAACAAACTTAACTAATTTTTTTAATTTATTTAAATTAGTTAACTGGCTTTTATATTAAGAATGAGAGATAATATATATTCATGCAATACTCGTAAAAGAATTATTTTAAAAATCAATGAATTTATTTTTTTTAAAATAAAAAAAGTTGTATATAACTTTTAGTAAAGAAGTTAAAAATAAATATTTTTAAGAAATAAACTATAATAACTGCGATAATTAGACTAATTTTCATAATAATCTAAGAATTTATTAAGTACAAATTTAAGCACGTTGAAACAGTAACAACTAACAAATTAATATGAATGCAAATTTTTTCCTAAAAAAATAAATTAAAGATCATTTCAACATTGATTTCCATCTGCTATTTGGAACTAATGATATGTTGTGTTTGCGAGTCCATTAAAACTTTGATAGGATTAATAAAAATGACTTTTAATTTGAAGAAAAGGACATTGATAAAGAAAGCATCTCCTTGAAGGCTGGTTTGCCATCCATAGACAAAAGAAAAGAAAAATAATTTTGAAGAGAAGAATTAAATAATTTTGTGGCTTAGACTTGTGATTGCTACTACATAAAAACTAGTTCATATTTAAGTTTCTGTTTATAAATTTATATGGAGAAATTAATGGAGGAATCAATAGTGAAACTGAACAAAAGACCGTATGATGTTTTATGGTAAAAATAATAATAAAATAATAATTCTCAACTATTACTAATAAAATATCAAATAATTGTTAATTCGTTTTTAATTATTAGTATCCATTTTTTAATTGAAAAATAAATTTTCAATTATATTTGTGGGAATGGGTAGACGAGCTGAAATGAGTTGGTCTTTTTTTTTTTCCCCCCGATCCAAGTTGGCCAATTTTTTAATCAGCAATAACGACGAAGAATTTATGGGGGTCAATTATTTATTGTTAATTACTGGCAATAATTGTTTACTTGTATGAACACAAATAATTTAAACATATATTTTGTTTGAATCCATTTTGTGTATTTTGTTTCCGAATTAATGCTTTGATTTGAGATACCCTCCAGTCCACAATATAAATTATTTTAAACAATTCATCAATATCAAAAAATGGTAGCTACTTCACTAAATGTGTTTTAAATTGAATTTTTTTTCCTCTAATTTTACACACATTACACGATATTGTAAAAGAGAAAGAAAAATATAAGGAATAAAATATATCACCCTTTCACACTCACATGATTACGCAGCAAATGATGGCATAAATTTACATATATTCATATGATCTCAATTATCACGAGTAAAATATAAAAGAATAATTAGTTTCTAAGTCCTCATAATTTTATTTGATTTTTAACTTTGTTTCCCTTATTAAAAAAAATTAGGTTTCTATAATTTTTTCCTCAGGTCCTTACTCATTTTTAATCAAATTCTTATAATTTTTTTTCCTTTTATAAGATCCTTATAGTTTCATTTGTTTTCAAGTAGATCTCTGTAATTTTTTATGACTCAATTGAAACTATGCGAATTTGATTAAAAATTAGGTAAAAATAAAAGGACTAGATAAAAAAAGAAAAAAATGCTATAGGGACCTGATAAAAAAAAAATAGAAACCTGATTTAAAAATTGCATAAAACTGTAAGAACTTACAGATTAATCATATCAAATATAAATTAGGAGTAATTTTTTTTATTATTCAACATCTTTATTTTTAAAAAATAAAATTTTAATTATCAGTAATTCTTGCTTTTGGGGAATGGAATCATGGATGGTGTTAACAACCAATAACGCATTTAAAAACGCCTGCGCATGTATGTACTATTGGCTAAAAGGAAAGTTGAAGATGCCCTGATTGCTCTCTGTTGTCCCAGGGCAAAATGGTCAACTTATTATTTTGGGAGAATTGCAATTAGGTCTCACTCAAGGAAATTAAATGCAAAAAGGTCTCTTAAAATCATGAATTATTCTGAAGTCTTAAGGGACCTTTTTGTAATAATTTTATTTGTTTAATTACCAAATTACCCTTCTTTTTTTTTAAAACTTTGTATTGACAACTCAAAGAGCAGTGGTTGACAACTCAAGATGCAAGGATTGACAACTGTCGAAATAATAGGGAAAATGACAATCAGGTCCCACTCAAGGGAATTAAATACAAAAAAGTCCCTTGAAATCATGAAATTATTTTAAAGTCTCAAAAAAAATTTTGTATTAAATTTTATTTGTTTACTTACCAAATTACCCTTCTTCTTTTTTTTAAGTTTGCATTGACAACTGAAAGAGCAGTAGTTGACAACTGAGGGTGTAAGGATTGACAACTGTCGCGTCTGGTTTGACAACACATTTTCTCAGCATATCACACCGCTTTAAAATATAAAACCACCACAATACAAAACTCAAGATATTGATTTACAGGTCAGTCAATTATGATTGAATTGGGGTCAAGAAACACAAAAATCGAACTGAACACTAATTTGGTTGAGGTAGTGCTTCAAATATCAACGAGTCAGATTGAGGTTAACTCAAGATCAAACCAATGATATTAAAATAATATAATTTAATGAAAAAGAATAAATATAACAATATTAATAATCACTAATGACAAAATATAAAGAAATACAATAATAGTTTGATTGTAACAATAACTAAGCACAATAACATTGAAAATTTTGATCTTTATAATTCCTCAGTAACTAAAATTAATAATTATTGATACCAAAATCATCATTAAAATTCATTCAAATCTATAGTAATTGAGATATTAGAAGCTAAATGAAAAAAATAAGACCAATAGCAATATAATCATCCAAAATCAATTCATAACCAGTTTACACCGCTTTGATGTTGATTCGATTTTTGGCTGACTCAATACCTTAACCAAACCAGACTACTGGCCGGTTCACCAGTTTTCTGATTAAACAAGCCAGTTCGATCCTGTTTTTTCTTCCATATTTGGGGTCAACCAAATTATTATCAAAATAATATAATTTAATTAAAATAACAAAAATATTTATATATAATCATGTAAAAAGAGTCATGTTTAAATTAAAAATGTATTAATTCACAAGTAAATGGAATATTCATGTATAATCCATTTAATCTATCCAAAACTCTTGATCAGATTAATTAGTCAGGGAATCGGTTCACTAATCTGAATGGGGGTTTTTAATACCATAAACAAATGATG